CTAGCGGCGCCCAGCACACAGGGTTCTAGTCCTGGTCGGGGCGCAGATTCTGTCCCGGTTGCCCCTCTTCCAGGCCAGCTCTCTGCTGTGGCCTGGGAAGGCAGTGGAGGATGGCCCAAGTGCTTGGGCCCTGCACCCCATGGGGGACCAGGATAAGCACCTGGCTCCTGGCATCGGATCAGCGCGGTGCGCTGGGCCGCAGTGCGCCAGCCGTGGCAGCCATTGGAGGGTGAACCAACGGCAAAAGGAAGACCTTTCTGTCTCTCTCTCTCACTATCCACTCTGCCTGTCAAAAAAAAAAAAAAAAAAAAAAAAAAAGTGTAGGGGCCTGCACTGTGGCATAACGGATCAAGCCACTACCTGCAGTGCCATCATCCCATATGGGTACCAATTTGAGAACCGACTGCTCCACTTCTGATCCAGCTCTCTGCTATGGTCTGGGAAAGCAGTAGAAGATGGCCCAAGTGCTTGGACCCCTACACCCATGTGGGAAACCCAGAAGAAGCTCCTGGCTCCGGGCTTCTGGCTTCAGATCTGCCCATCTCCAGCCATTGCAGCCATCTGAAGAGTGAACCAGTGAATGGAAGACTTCTCTCTCTGCCTCTGCCTCTCTGTAACTCTGCCTTTCAAATCAATAAATAAATTTTAAAAAGAGAAAAAAGAACAAGGGTGTATGATTGCCAATTTGATCTTATGTTGTTGTTCTTAGTGTAAAACCTCCCTTTCTCTCACTTTAGTCAAGTCCACTACACATTTAAATGCTTCATGAAAGTAACATGTTTTTAACAGACAAAAATTAAAAGAAACCTGAATTCACACCCAGGGCTAAGTGGTATGGAACAAAGAGAACACACACAGAACAAGTGATAATTGAAAAACTGAAACAGAGGGGACCAGAAGATGCATCTAGGGGAGAGCATGAGGGTATGTATAAACCTTGATTTCTCAAAATCCCCTGGGCTGGGTGTGGCAAGTGCCTGAAATTCTCAAGGAGAAGGAACACTCAGATCACATGAATATAACAGGGATCCACAGTGGTGCATCTGAAAAGGCACTTAAACTTCTTAAGCATTTTATGCAAACTTAAACCTCCAAATGCGCACTTCTTCACTAATGTATTAATGTGGACTTAGGACATCTACTACCAGAGCCTGATGAGAGCTTTCTCCATTGTTTTCTTGCATAAACCACTTACATAATGCAGTCTAATTCCTTCTGATGAGACAAAGCAGACTAAATGCAGAATTCTCTCAGACTTTTATAGTCTTCTAATTTTTGGTAGATGTTTGCCCATATCTAATTTGATGATAATTCTTAGCACTTGTTTTTAATCACATCTTTCCAAAGACGTTGAGCTATCATAGAAACACTTTGTTCCTGCGTCATTATTCCATCTATTTATGTACTATTTAATAAAATCACATAATTATGATAGCAAACACAATTTGCATGGATAAGTTGGTTGCCAGTGCAGCTGACTCCTGAGCCATGGAAACTTCAGCCATAACTTGGAAACAAAGCGCCATAACACAGTGTCCCGTTGTTTACAAGGAAAGAGTAAACACTGCTGTTCCAGGCAGCTTTGTAAACTGGGGTCAGTTTTTAAACCTTCTGTTGGTTTCATGCACAATTTTCCTGAAAAGGTGAAGAGCTCACCAGTGCAAAGCACACTGGGAAGATGGCCATGCCATGCTTCTTCCAGTGAGTGCATCCCTGTCAAGCTCTCCGACATTCGCTGTGATGGACCTGGCCCAGAAAGTCAGACAACTACCTGCCCTCCCTGGGGGAAAATTGTTCCCATTCCACATGGAATAATCAATCACGCTGTGTGACAGCCTTGGCAGCAAGCTCAAACGTCAACAAAGCCCCTGCAAAGATGCCAGGCTGTACCAAAAGCCAGGCGCAGGAGCTCCTGGAGGCTCGGAACAAGAAGTCGTAACATTTAGTGGTAATGACTCTACGTATGTATTCAGTGTAAATTAGGACTCTCTTCTTCGGCAGGAAAGGGCAGAGAACTAAATCTAAGCAGCAGTCAGAGAAAGAAAATTTTCTCCTAATCAGAAAAGCACAATCGTGGAGAAGTGGAGCACACAAATGGAGCTGGTTGTGTAATTAGGATCTTTTATTTTTTTTTTCTCTCTCTCTCTTTTCCTTCAAAGTACAAGGAAGGAAAGGTAGACATCTGGAAAGGAAGTTAAACACTCCTGGAAAATGACGTGGGTTGTTAATTGGGGACGGGTTAAACCCAGTAATTATCTTTGCAAAGAACACCCGGAGGACCCCGGCCACCAGGGGAAGCGCGTGAATTTAGCGGGACTTCTGATGTCAGACTTCCTAGAATGGCAGCGTTAGCTCTTTAGAGTGAGAGTTTTCGAAAGGACTGTGGTTAATCACTGTAAGCACTTAAGAAGAAAGGTTTTACTCTGTGTCTAGGTTTTGTGTTTCCCAAATTTCACTGATTATAAGCACTCTTCATGAATAGAGTGTTTAATAAATATACGTGGTACGAAATTTACCAAGAAAATAGTAGGTTTTCTTTTTTTTTTGACTTTTATTTAATGAATATAAATTTCCAAAGTACAGCTTATGGATTACAATGGCGTTCCCCCCCCCCATAACTTCCCTCCCACCCATAACCCTCCCATTTCCCACTCCCTCTCCCTTTCCATTCACATCAAAATTCATTTTCAATTCTCTTTATATACAGAAGATCAGTTTAGCATATATTAAGTAAAGATTTCAACAGTTTGCACCCACATAGAAACACAAAGTGAAAAATACTGTTTGAGTACTAGTTATAGCATTAAATCACAATGTACAGCACATTAAAGACAGAGATCCTACATGAGGAGTAAGTGCACAGTGACTCCTGTTGTTGACTTAACAAATTGACACTCTTGTTTATGGCATCAGTAATCACCCTAGGCTCTTGTCATGAGTCACCAAGGCTATGGAAGCCTTTTGAGTTCACCAACTCTGATCATATTTAGACAAGGTCGTAGTCAAAGTGGAAGTTCTCTCCTCCCTTCAGAGAAAGGTACCTCCTTCTTTGTTCTTTTCACTGGGATCTCACTCACGGAGATCTTTCATTTAGGTTTTTGTTTGTTTGTTTTTGTTTTGTTTTGTTTTGTTTTGCCAGAGTGTTTTGGCTTTCCATGCCAGTAATACTCTCATGGGCTTTTCAGCCAGATCCAAGTGCCTTAAGGGCTGATTCTGAGGCCAGCATGCTGTTTAGGACATCTGCCATTCTATGGGTCTGCTGTGTATCTTACTTCCCATGTTGGATTGTTCTCTCCCTTTTTTATTCTATCAGCTAGTATTTGCAGACACTAGTCTTGTTTATGTGCTCCCTTTGGCTCTTAGTCCTATCATTATGAACAATTGTGAACAGAAATTGATCACCGGGACTAGTGAGATGGCATTGGTACATGCCACCTTGATGGGATTGAATTGGAATCCCCTGGTATGTTTCTAACTCTACCGTTTGAGGTAAGTCAGCTTGAGCATGTCCCAAACTGCACATCTCTTCCCTCTCTTATTCCCACTCTTATATTTAACAGCGATCACTTTTCAGTTAAGTTTCAACACTTGAGAATAACTGTGTATTGATTACAGTATTCAACCAAAAGTATTAGGTATAACAAACAAAAATACTAAGAGAGATAACGTATTAATTTGTTCATCAACAGTCAGGGCAAGGGCTGATCAAGTCACTGTTTCTCATAGTGTTCATTTCACTTTAACAGGTTTCATTTTTGGTGCTCAGTTAGTTGTCTCTGATCAGGGAGAACATATGGTATTTGTCCCTTTGGGATTGCCTTATTTCACTCAGCATAATGCTTTCCAAATTCCTAACAGGATCACTCTTCAGTTAAAATTTAAACACCTAAGAATAATTGTGTGTTAATTACAGAGTTCAACCCATAGTACTAGAACTAAAAAAAAATACTAAAATGGATAAAGTGTTACATTATACATCAACCGTCAGGCAAGAGCTGATCAAGTCACTGTTTCTCATAGTGTCAATTTCACTTCAACAAGTTTCCCCTTTGGTGCTCAGTTAGTTGTCCCCGACCAGGGAGAACATGATTTGTCCCTTTGGGACTGGCTTAACTCACTCAGCACGATGTTTTCCAAATTCCTCCATCTTGTTGCAAATGACTGGGTTTCATTGTTTTTGACTGCTGCATAGTATTCTATAGAGTACATGTCCCATAATTTCTTTATCCAGTCTACTGTTGATGGGCATTTGGGTTGGTTCCAGGTCTTAGCTATTGTGAATTGAGCTGCAATAAACATTAAGGTGCAGACAGCTCGCTTGTTTGCCAATTTCATTTCCTTTGGGTAAATTCCAAGGAGAGGGATGGCTGGGTTGAATGGTAGGGTTATCTGCAGGTTTCTGAGGAATCTCCAGACTGACTTCCATAGTGGCTTAACCAGTTTGCACTCCCCAGATGGCCACAATAGCAGGAGTTGATCCGAAGCCAGGAGCCAGGAGCTTCTTCCGGGTCTCCCACACAGGTGCAGAGGCCCAAGCACTTGGGCCATCCTCCACTGCCCTTCCAGGCCATAAGCAGAGAGCTGGATCAGAAAAGGAGCAGTTGAGAAAGGATCTGGCACCCTTATGTGATACAGACCTACTATGCCATAATGCAGGTCCTGGTTGGTTTATTTCTGTGTGTTTTTGTTTTATTTTTTTGTAAGAAAGGAAAATTGAGTAAAAGGATATGCATTGGGGTCAGCTCTGTGGTGTAGCTTGTAAAGCCACCATGTGCAACCCTGGCATCCCACATGGGCACGGTTCAAGTCCCGCCTGCTCCACTTCTGATTCAGCTTCTGCTACTGTGTCTTGAAAGGCAGAGGAAGATAGCCCAAGTTCTTGGGCTCCAGGGCCCATGGGAGTGACCTGGAAGAAGCCGCTGGCTTTGGCCCGGCCCGGCCCTTGCTGTGTGACCATTTGGGTTGTGAACCAGTAGATGGAAAGTCTCTCTCTCTCCCTCTGTCTCTTGCCCTCTCTCTATAATTCTAATAAATAAATAAATATTTATTAAAAAGGATATGAATAGGCATTTTTCAAAGGATGAAATACAAATAGCCAGTACTTGGTAGTTCGCAGTTTGTTGTCTACCTAGATCTCTGATTAATTAAACTGCCTCATAAAAAAACATAAACACTCAGAATCACTAGTGATCAGTGAAATGCAAATAAAAATCACAATGTGGTATCACCTCAACCCAGTTTGAAGACTAGTATCCAAAAATCAGAAAGTAACAAATGTTGGCGAGGATACAGAGATAAAAGTACCTGAATATACTGTCAGTGGGAATGCAAACGAATGTACCCATTATGGAAGACAGAAAACTAAAAATAGGTCTACCATATGACCACAATATCCCACTGCTAGGAATATACCCAAGGGAACTAAAGCAGCATAAGAAAGAGCTACCTGCATACCTGTGTTTATAGCAGTTTAGTTCACAACAGCTAGGATATGGAATCCACTAGATATTCATCAGCTGACGACTGGATGAAAAAAATGTGGTATCAGGCGCTCCAGTACAATCAGTAGTGTGCAGTACCTAAAAGAAAATGTGGTATATATACACAACTGCATATTACTTAGCCATAAAAAAGAATGAAATCCTGACATTTCAACAAAACGGATGCAAGTAGAGATCATTATGCCATCTAAAATAAGCCAGACCCAACAAGAAGAATATCACGCGCTTTCTGTTATTTGTGGTAGTTAATATAGAGAAGATAAAAATTGTGTGTGGATTTCAGAAATTTGGTATACAGTTATAAATACTGTTTCACTGAATCATATCATGTAAATGACAATATGCTTTTATTTCATACCTTAAAAATGGATAGGTGGGAATAGTGAGGATTCTTGGGATACAAGTAATGCTTTGTCCTTAATTTGGAGTTGGATAAGTGTGATCAGATGACAAAAGTCACCGATGTGTACACTTGTGTGCATGTCTTGGTATGCATGCTGTATTTTAATAAAGTATTTTTTTAAAAGAAACATCGAAACCATGGATCTGGAAAAGGATGAGAGATGAACTTTTCTTATGGTGGTATGCCAGAACAACATTAACAAAAAGAAAGCTGAATTGTAATTTATGCATTGAAAGATAAATAAGTAAACCTCTCCACAAATCTAAAATATAAATATATATATAGCTGTGCTATTGTCTCTGGGGTTATCTAGTATTCCACACCTGAGGCAGTTTAATTAATCAGAGATCTAGGTAGACAGCAAATTGCAAACTACCAAGTACTGGCAACTGGCAGGAGGTGACTCAAATGGAGTTAGATATCCTTTGTTTTTATATTTAAAAAGTACAAAAAGAAGCAAAAGAATTTGGGGCTTGAGAAACAAATAAACAAATTTTGTTTTACCTGCTGCCAACTTTGCCTGAAGAAAGAAGACGTTGGTTCCAGCCTGGTGTGTGTGTTGAAGTCAGGAGGCAGGTAGTAGTGGAGTCTCCACATTTCCTTCTATTCTCTTCTCCCCCAGCTCAAATTCACAGCAAGGAGGCTCACGCTGAGGTCTCCACAGGAAACCATCAACAGTAGCTGCTAATGGGAAACCTAATGACACTTTAATGGGACTAGTAAAGCTAAGAGAATTGTGCAGATAATATTTGTAATAGGAGAAAAAAAAACTGCACTAAGCTGAAACAAGAGCTGGCCAGGCTGGAACTATGAAGTTCAATGAAGAAAAAGCTGTAGTCTTCCTGGGGCAAGGACATGTCCCATGCCTCTGAGGGCATCTGCCTCAACCACTGGGACAAGCCAGCACTGGAGCGAGAGGAGAAAAGTCACAGTGCACCATGACATCTCATCTGACACCTGGGCTAAGGAACCCGAATCCACGGAGATTCCTCCATTTGCATTTGCGAGACAGCTTTAATCCATAGGAAATAGACTGTGATAGGAATTTAAGCCCTGAACTAAATCCAACCCGAAACAAAGCATGCTGTCAATAAAAATCAAATATGGCCAATTGTAGCAGAAAAAAAACATGATTGCACAAATACTTCCTAAGCCCCATTACATTCCCTAGTTTTACCAGTCTAGCCCAGATTCATCGTTATAGCTTAGATATTTTCACCCCATCCACCCTGGTAGAGTTAACATACCTGAAACTCTCAAACAGTGCCTCTCTAAGTATAATTCCCAGACCAGTAGCATCACCTGGTAACTTGTAACAAATAAAAGTTCTTGAGTTCTTTCTTAAAACTACTTAGCAAACCTTGGAGGTAAAACCCAAAAACCAAGTTTTAACAAGCTCTCCAGGTGATACTGACACATGCTCAAGTCTGAGAACCATTGGTCTATAACATTGGTTCTCAGACTTGGCTGCGCATTGGAATCACCTATGAAAGTTAAAAAAAAATGCTGATAGTTGGTTCCTACTGCCAGAGATTCTGATTTAATCAGCATCAGGTGCACCCTAGACAGTTGTTTTTTTAATTCCTCAGGTGATTCTAATGTGCAAGAAAGTGTGAAAAACCCTCGATCACATGGAAAATGAAAGTAAGCAGACCTAGCATTCTATGCACAAAAAGCTCGTAGGTAGTCAGCGTGTACTCAGAGCCACACTAGTAAACAGCAATAAGTTGATCTATACTGATAGTCTCAACAGTGTTTTCCTTGATTGTATTTCAACCGAAAAGAAAATAAATTTGCCCAATAAGCCTTAGGCTTGATTTATTTAAATGTTCATTGGAGAGCTGGTGTTTTGTCCTTACCACTAGCAAATTCAGAGGCTTCTCTTTAGAAATTTTCTCTCTCCCTTGTGAAGTACCTGAGTGCTACCCCTTTACACCTGCTTGAAAGCCCTGTTGCCAGGATTCCCACACTGAAGTATAAGCAAACCTGGGCCACACATTGATGTGTCCTGGGACCCAGGAAGCCACACAGATCAAAGGCGACTCATACGTCTGAGGATTCCAGCTTTCTCCAAAGCTTGGTAATTGCTACAACTGAATATTTGTGGCCCCAAACTGAAGGGTTTGGTCCCCAAACTCGTAAGTTAATGGTGCTAGAAGAGTGGAAACCTAATCAAATTATAGTGTTGGGATTGGCTTGGCTGGGTCATTGTGGTGGAGTCCCCAGGATTAAATCCTGGTGACACTATAAGAAAACACATACCCATAGAGACACACGTGCCTCCTGTCTCTTGCCAGGTGACACCCTCTGCCCCTTGAAAATGTGCCAGCAAGCATCGTACCGCCAGAGGCCAAACCAATGGAGCCCATGAAACTTGAACTGTGGATCTGCATTTATTTAGCTAAATGAATCTCTCATCCTTATAAGTTAGTTACGTCAGGCACTTCATTATAGTAAAAAAAAAAAGCGGACTAATATAGTAATTAGAACATCTTAATAATAGGACAAACATAGATATACCGTGTATAAATTTGATCAGGATTTTCCCCAGTCCTCCTGATAACAATGCCCATTTATTCTCCTCTGCTAGTTGTTGAAACTGTAATTCAAGGACAAAAACTTATAAAAAAGAAAGAAAGAAGGAGAGAAAGAAAGACAAAACTTGAGAAAATAGGACATGCTCACCCTTGCTCAGAAGAATAAGAGAGCAGATAATGAATGCCAAAATCCCAAATCAAGATTGCAACCTCAAGGAGACACTATTAGCATTTTCTATAGAATTTTTGTTCCATATTTACACATCTATAATGCCCACAGGGTTTATTCGCCAGTCTTTCTGCCCTCCTCAAGATGAAAAATGGAATTCTTCTCTTCAAAGCTTTTACAAAAAAAAGATAATAAAATTCCCCAAAGAGTTGGCCCTGTCTCCCAGCTTCTCCTTCCTCCTAACCAAGTTGAGCTTACGGAATTGGGTACTTGGGATGTTTTTCATCTAACTCTTGCTTGAGGCACCAGCACACTGCACTGCATTTTGAGTTTCTCACTTCTGTTGTGTTCCATGGAATGCAGGTGGTGGGATGGATAAGTGTGTAGCATCCCTTGGGTTTGTCAATACCTTGGAGAAATACAAGTTCTCTCTTTTGTGCAATAAAAAAAAATTTAAAACTCCTACCTACCCTTAGTCCTGACCGTCCTAAGCCACAAAATCAGCATGTCCATGTTCCGAAAGTTGAGCAGACAGGCCTCTCACATTGTGCCATAATGTATCAGCACTGGGGAGGGGCCTGGTGGTTATTAAGCCCAGACCCTGTTCTGACAACAGGGAACTGGGGCACAGAGAACAAGGATGAACCCTCAGAGCCATGCAACCAATGAGCCTAGAGTCCCCATTTCCACGTCTCCTCCCAATCCGCCTTAGCACTTGCCTGAGGCACCGCTGAGCACAGCTGAGCTGTGAGCTGCTGTAGCAACCGGCAAACCACAATAAAGGAGACAAAGCCTCACAGGATGAGAAAGATAGGCAAGCGTCAAAAATGGGTGCACACAGAGGAGGCAGCAAGCAATGGGTCTGCAGGAAATAGTAGGAAAGCAACAGAGCAACAGAAGGAACACAGAAGCCAAGCAAGACTACACGGCAGGCTCAGAGGACAATCCTGAGAACCTGGCCTAGGGAAGATAGCCTCTTACCTCTTTCCTGGTCTGATCAGCTTAACCGCGTACAAGGCACAAGGTCTGTGTTCTTATACCCAGAGAAGGAAAGTACACAGATTCAAGAAAACAGATCCTAGTGTCTGTGTCTTTATCTGTAAAGTGGGATTAAATATCACTGCCAGCCCTGTAAAACTGAGGTGGGGCGCATGCACTTGTGTGGAAATTATCAAGGGCAGGTACATGATGCTTGTCTTCTCCAGGTAGAGCAGCTATAACAAAGTACCATAGCCACGGATGGCTGATAAACAGCAGGAAAGTGCTTCGTACGGCCCTGAGAATGGAAATCCACGGCGAGGGTACCCGCGTTGCCAGCTTCTGGAAAGGGCCCTCCTGGGGTTGCATCCCCATTTGGAGGAAAGGAGCCTTCGGAATTCTCTGGAGCGTCTTTTGAGGCAAGTAATCCACTCCGCCTTCGTGATCCAGTTACCTCTCCAGGGCCCCATCTGACATTACACGTTGGAGGGCAGGATTACAACCTGAGGGGCACACAAAACTCTGTACACGAACAGCACTGGTACTTTTGTCATCACAATTCCTACTACCTAGAGGCAAAACTCTCTAGGCCTGGAGCAAACATGTGCAGCAAGCTAAGCCACCACTTAGGATGCTGCCCACACCCCACGTCACACTGCCTAGGCTGAAGTGCCACCACAGCTGCTGAGCCAGCTTCCGGCTAATTCACACCTCGGAGAGCAGCAAATACTTGGGCCCCTCTCATCCACATAGGAGACCTGAATGAAGCCCCTGGCTCCTGGCTTCAGCCTTGCCCAGCCCCCGCTGTTGTGGGCATTTAGGGAGTAAACCAGTAGGTGGCAGATTCTCTCTATATATATCACTCTTTATTTTAAATAGATAAAAAGTAAATAAAGAAACGTTAAAAAACATCTAGGACGTTAGGGAATTTCGGCCATAAAGACCCTAGCTTTAAAGATGGAGAAAGTAGTTGAAAAGCAAGAGTAGGCTTCACAAGCAAGCAGAGCCAGGATTCCACAGCAGCTGGGTAAGCTTGGGGAAATTGCCTGACTTTTCTGAATCTCAGTTCCACAGTGTGTGTGTGCGTAATTTTTTTAAAGATTTTATTTATTTATTTGAGAGGCATAGTTACACAGAGAGGTAGAGACAGAGAGAGAAAGGTCTTCTATCTGCTGGTTCACTCCCCAGATGGCAGCAATGGCCGGAGCTGAGCCAATCCGAAGCCAGGAGCCAGGAGCTACTTCAGGGTCTCCCACGTGGGTGCAGGGGCCCAAGGACTTGGGCCATCTTCTACTGCTTTCCCAGGCCATAGCAGAGAGCTGGATCGGAAGAGGAGCAGCTGGGACTAGAACCAGCGCCCATATGGGACCCCAGTGCCTCAGGCAGAGGATTAACCAACAGCACCACAGTGCCGGCCCCAGTTCCACAGTATATATTAAAAATTAATAACTTGTAGCATTGAATAATAAATATTTTAATAATAGAAAGTATGCTGATAAAGCTCTCTCAGGGCCAACATCAGTCTGTTATATGTTCAGTCTCTGACCTATTTCAAATCCAATCCCAGCTGGGCTTATCTGGATACATCCTTTGTTCTCAAAAACTCTCTCTCTCTGGTTGTCCGGACACGAAAGGCCAAGCCCCAGTCAAAGCTAAATCTTCAAATAAAATATAAATACAAACAGGACAAGGTAAAAAGGGAAAAGAAAACATTCTGTCAAAACTTTCAGTTTTAAAATTAACTAGCTAACCAGAGAGTCAAATACTGAATGCACAATTCTAGAAATTTCTTAATAATAACTTAAAATAATTGCTTTCTTATTATACATGCCAGAAATGGAATCTTCCAAAATCAAAGAAACTTAGCTGAACAGCAAAAGGTATATTGGATAGAAATGACAGAAACCACAGTTAACCGATCTGGATCAAAAATATTAAACAAAGAAAAAACACTCATTATTCTGTCAGCTTGAAGACGTTTTCAGCTTGTTCAAACTGGAACAAGTCCCCCTGTGGCCTTGTAAAAGTCACTGAATTGGAGTACAGCAGTGTAAGTAGCAGTTTCATCTTCAAAGATGCCATGTAAAATAGACATATTAACAAGCAGGTTGGTTTTTCCGCCTTCTTACTCCCTCTGTTTCTCAGCCCTGTTCCGGCCCTGGCTCTGTCTTAGTAGTAGGCTGTGATGTCGAAGCAGAGTTTACACTGTCCTTCCTTCCCCTGCCATCACCTCCCAAACTGGAGGCCTCAGTGCCTGTCAGGGGAGCCCTCCTGGTTTCCTCTGGTAGGAACTGAACTTCCTGAGCCAAGAAATTTGACATGAGTACTCGCAGCTCTTTCCTCTGAGGTAGTGCCTGGTAAACAGTGCTCAGGCTAAACTACCTGTATTTGAAAAAGCAAATAAACCAAAAAGGCATATTTGTGGGTGTGTGTCTCAGTGATTGGCTCTGTAATTCCTACTGAATAAGACAAGCAGAGTGTCCGATATGCAATTGGATGTGTGAGTTCAGGGTTAAAGTTACACACACCCCACTTCAAAACTGGGGAGCTCTAACACCTTGAGCCATTCCCGTTTCACACAACATTGGTGGGTTGCCGTAGACAAGATCAGGGATTCCACACACACTGTCTTGCCTCTATGCCATCCTTTGCGATAGGCAGGTTGTTGGAGCCAGGGAGAAGAGCTAAAGAATTAAGAGAAGACCTGCTGAGGGTTCCATATCTTAGCTCTTCGAATTGCAGATTTCCCCTCCATTTCCACGATGGGCACGTCTCCCTAGAGTGAAGCAGCACTCCAGCCTAGTGATAACATTGGACACTTAATCCCCAACAGTGTGATTTACCAGCCATTTATGGAGACCCTCCTGTATCCTAAAAGTGTGGAAAACTGTCATGTCTGGCACCAAGCACAGTGTCTGGTGCATTACAGACTCTCAGTAAACAAAGTCTGGTGAATGAACAGAAGAATGAGTTCTTAGCCTGGAATGTCCAAAGAAAATGGTAGAATTTACATCAATAGACCTCAAAATTTAAGAAAAAATAGGTTTTGATATCAGTGCCAAAAGATACACAATTCCTTGGGGCAGATTTTGTGGCACAGCCACTACTTGGGATGCCCACATCCCAAATCCGAATGCCGGTTCAAGACCCAGCCACTTCACTTCCCAACTAGCTTCCTGCTCATGAATCCTGGGCAGCATCAGAAGATGTCCCAAGTGCTTGGGGTGCTTGCCACCCCCACGGAAGATCCAGACTGAGTTCTAGGTTCCTGGCTTTGGCCTGGCCTGGTCCCTGGCTACTTTGAGCATCTGGGGATTGAATCATTGGTTGGACGATCTCCACCCCCATCCCAGCTCCCACTTGTTCACTCGCTTCCTCTCTGTTTCTCTGCCTTCAAGTAGGTAAAAATGAATAAATTTTTATTAAAAAAAATACAGTCCAGTAACATAAGTTAGCAGTGAACATTTGACCTAGCAGTTAAGATGTCGAGGTCTCACAGCAAAGTGAAGCCCAGGTCTGGTTCCTGATTCCAGCTCCTTGCCAATACAGACCCCTAAAGTAATATCTGCAGTCTCTGCTCCCTGCTCCAGCTTGGTCCCAGCCATTGCAGGCAAGTGGGGAGTGCGTCAGCAGACGGGTGAGCACTCTCTCTCTCTGTCTCTTTACCTCTCAAGTAGATACAAAACAATATTTAACAACAGTTACCCCAAAATAAAACAAGAATTCTTATTTGACCCCTAAAACAATGCTTGTTTGGAAATAGAAAGGAGACACGCTGAGAGGCAGCAGAGGTCAGACACCAAGGGCAGAACCTAAGGGAAGGACAGGCAGGGCAGCTAGACCAGCAGGCTTCCAAAGGCAACAGCACACCTACAGACAGGTGGCTTGAGAGCTGTAGGTGAGAACTGAGCAGGAGCCACCCCAGGCAGACAGGGTGCCGCATGGGTCTGAGCATCAGGCATGAGACTCCAGGAACAAGGTGAGGTCCACTGCTTATGCCAGGATTAGCAGTAAAGCTCTTTTAGCGGAGAGAAAGGCCCAGAATGGGGCTAGCCTACAACAACAGTATTAATCATGGACAGTGATCTGGCACTCCTAGATACGCTCACTCATTCAGTGCTCTCACTGGCCTCCAAAGGTATCATTACCATCCCCACTTTACAGACGTGCAAACAGAGGCACAGAGCCTTCCAAGGTCATGCAGCTCAGAAGTGGCACATCCAGGATCTGAGTGGAGGCAGCCTGGCACGAGTCTGGGCCCGGGGCACCACCCCTGCTACCTGTTAGGGCCCTGGCTGTCCCACTCTGAGAAAGGCGGTCAGCAAGTTTCATGTTCCTTCTAAGCAGGATCAACAAAACCAGTGACCCGCATAGAAAACTCCCTGATGAGATCCACGCTTTGAAATGTGCGGAATTAGAAAGCAGGACATAGAACCAGAGGCTCATACAAAGGGCTGCATGACCCTAGAACAGCAACTCAGTCGGGAAAAAGTCCCAAAGGGCCTGAGCGTCCTTCATGTGGTGGATTTCCGATTTCCACATCAGGACTGCTGTGCAGAGGTGCAGCCAGTTTCCCCAAGCTCTTGAGGCCCCGTCTCCATTCACTTTGTCCCTCCCAAGAGGTTTCTTGTGGTTTAAACATCTCATCTCCTTGGCGTAAATGCTCATGGCACTCAGGATGCCCTCGCATTGTTCCTCTGCCCTTCTCCCGGGGAGCGCTCTTCCCTCAGGTCTACAGTCTGGGAAAGGGACTTCTGGATGGAGCCCTACCTGCCCCCCACCCCTGCAACTCCCGGACATAGGCCTCTCTAGTGTGTGGCTATTTCAATTAAAAATAAAATATATCCAGTTCCTCCACCACACTAGCCACATTTTAACTGCTCCATAGCCACAGGTGGCTAATGACTATCATAATTAACTGGTACAGATGGAGAATTTCTATCATCACAGAATGTTCTATTGGACAGCTGTGTGTGTGTGTGTGTGTGTGTTCTTGTTTGTTTACTGGTAGCTTATTTTCTTTGAAGAACACCTTAACATGCATACAAGAGAACACTTATGCAACAAGACATTCAAAAATCAACGCAAAGATCCGGGCTTGGCAGATACAAGTTCTGCCAGCTGGTAGCAGTGAGACGTTGAGTGAGTTACTTAACCCCCATCCCCCCACCAAGTCCCAGGGGATGATGGGAGCCTGAGTCCTGCAGACCTCCCAAGTGGCTGCAAGGGTCACATGAGATAACACATGAGTAGGAGAATGTTCAGATTTTACTACAGAATTACTATTTTACTTAAAAAGAAACTCACAAAGCAGAACATAGAGTAACTGCAGCTCAGGTGTTACAGGGTTCACTTCTGTATCTCAGGGTAGCTCTGTGTCAGCTTGAAGAATAGACAACCTTGAAGACGGAATAGTTCTTGAGTTTTGAAAAGGAAGCTAAAGAATTATTCCAGGAAACTATAAACTCATTACTTATCCATTCTTAGGAAAATTAGAGCATATTTAAAAAAAAAACAGTTTCAAAATACAACACAATGTATTTGGTAGAATTACTTGCTAGGCTGAATAACTTTAGGGATAGTGTGAACATAGTATGCCTGGGTTTCAGAAAAATACCTCGTATGTCCCTGGTATATCCTTCAGCTCAGGGTGTTCAAATGAGGATGAACAGTGTGTCTAGGCACATGCTTATAAGCCTGGAAAACTTCTCCCAAGGAGTGCTGACTGTTGTGTTCAAAGGTAGCCAAACAGAGACTATCGTTTCTGGAGACGTGCTGCACATGCCGTCGTGACGGATGCTCTCAATGGGAGTCTCTGCACATGACGATGACACAGAACAACTCACCAAAGCCCCAGCAGAGAAGGGTTTTGAGAGGGTGTGCTCCATTCGTGTGGGCCGCTGTATACTTCCCTAGGCCAGCCCGGTCTGCACATTCTCCTGGAACACCTTCCCATAACTCCCAGCGCCATCATCACACCCAGGCTCCCAGGATGCACTTCCCTGTGATGGGAGTGAGATAGAGAACAGCTGAAGAAAAGGCGCGCCCACCAGATAGCATGAGTGGGAAACCACTGCTTTTTTTCACAGAAGGAACTCACACAACTCTGGGTGAGAACACACCCATGCACACACAAAAATTACTACCTGCACCTCGTGTCCTGCTACACTAACTGCAAATGTGCAAAGACATGTCGCTCCCCCTCTTCGTGGAGGAACGACACAGGACCCTGCGCTGTTCTTTCGTCTGCTCGGCCCTCCCCGGGTTTGCTGCTGGTTCTTCCCGGGTTGGCTACTATCCCTTCCACCTCCGTGGAAGGGCAGTTCCCCCTGGCCACATTCCCCACTTCCGCAGGGGAGCGGCACACCGCCGGCCGGCTCGTCTCGGGGGCTGCACAGGTGTTCCTTCAGCTAGATGTTCCCCATAGATGTTCCCCGGTGCATGCCGTCTCTCTCCTCCTTTATAGTCCTCCTCCGCCAATCCCAACTCGGCTGCCCACACGCCGAGTACGCTGCTCTCCTCCAATCAGGAGCAAGTCCTACAGTTTATCAGTTGAACTGGAGGCAGCTGTGCGGAAGCTGTTTACTTCTCTCCCAGCGCCATATTGTGGGAGAGCAGATGCATAGAATAAGTCTTAATTCCAGTAACTCAGTCCAGTCCGGGCTGCTCCCCACAAGACAGATAGTATTGACCTCACTTCAGAATTAAGGGAAGCAAGAATCGGAGGAGTTGAGTCAATTGCTTTGGGCCCCAGGGTCAGCCTGCAGCACAGCTGGGATTCCAGCCCCAAATCTGAACACACACCCAGCTGGTAATTATCTTCATTCCCCCAAATGTAGAGTTCTTTCTGCATCCTTTCTGTCTTCCTCTTCCCCTCCCCCCATACTTACCTCCTTTCCTTCTCTATTATCTGCTCTATACCTACTTCCTGGCCTCTGCCTGTTGCCTACTCATGCCTAGGTAGGGTTTCTCCCACCAGTGTCCTTAAGGAGAGGCCAAAGATTGATTCTGGCTTTAGAAAATATATGCTGTTCGTGTACTCCCAAGGGCAAGGTTACTACCTATGCCAAACACAGTTGGGAATGACCAATATTTTACCATTGCTTCATTTTGACTCCAGTGGGACAAATATTTGTGCTGTACTTTAAACTGGAACTACATTGTGGAGGATATGTATCTGAGAGAGACAGAGGGAGAGAGAGAATATGAATATGCACTACCCTCCTTCCGGGTTTTATAGTTGAAACTCCAAGTTCAATCATATTTTGCCCATCAGCATTCCCAAAGCATGACCTCTTCCATCCACCATTTGCACTATCAGATACCTAGTAACTTGGGTCTTCAGCACTGACATCTGGAACACCAATAGTACCATTCACATCTGGCATGTTCCTTTTAACCTTTATAACAACCTGTCGGGCAGAAAGAAAGAAAAATACCATTACCATTTTAAAGAATCATCAAGTGAGGCTGGCTCCATGGCTCACTAGGCTAATCCTCCACCTGCGGCGCCAGCACCCAGGGTTCTAGTCCCAGTTGGGGCGCCGGTTCTGTCCCTGTTGCTCCTCTTCCAGTCCAGCTTTCTGCTGTGGCCCGGCAAGGCTGTGGAGGATGGCCCAAGTGCTTGGGATCTGCACCCACATGGGAGGCCAGAAGGAAGCACTTGGCTCCTGGCTTTGGATTGGTGCAGCGCACCCACAGTAGCAGCCATTTGGGGAGTGAACCAACAGAAGGAAGACCTTTCTCTCTGTCTCTCTCTCTCTCTCACTGTCAAACTCTGCCTGTCCAAAAAAAAAAACATAAGGATCATCAAGTCAAAGGATGTCATTGTAAATTTGTAGGGATTTATTTCAAGTCTCTAGATCTGAGTCTCTAGATCTGGAGTCTTCTGGCTTCTGGGCCTGCTTTCTGTAACCTCACAAGGCTCCTTGAACATTGCTGAGAGAAAAACCAGGTGTCCTGTCTTCTTATTCAGGAATATTAAGGAAACACAAATTCACATCCTAAAAAGGGAAGCCATGTAAATGGAAACAACATATTCCCCCTATAACTGAAAAGGGGGAAAAGGGCATAGGAAAACAAAAGGCACAAAATCTCCCACCACACAAATGCAACCATATGACCAGTCCCATGCTAGACAGGAAACTGTCCTCTACAAATAGGCAAAGCTAGACTCTAAGGACACAGGCCTCAAGGGTTCTCCAGCCTCACCCCAGCCCCGCGTGCAGGCTCTCCGGCATCCTAGGTTATAAAGGCTATCACAAATGTTCCCTGAGCCCCCTGTAAGCTCCAGGGACTGTGCTGCCAAATTTTTCATGCTTCCTTCTGTTGACTTTGTCTATACTCCTAAAGCATTATTATTATCATCATCCTGCTTTACATATGATAAAGGACTACATTATCATTATATTATTATTATGAACATTTGTAACAGCCAGAGAGATTGCTGTTAGCATTGTTTCCATTTTACAGATGATAAAATGAGGCTCGGCAAGGCCAGTTAGCTCCACAGCTCCTGACATGGAGCCCAGAGTCCCACAGAGCCCTATTCCAGCTGTACAGAGAATGCCCTCACACCCTCCTCTCACGGGACCGTTCATCTTACCACATTTGAAATCAGGCCCTGCCAGCTATCCTCTGCAAGCATGCCCAATACTGAGCCTTACAGAATCCTACCAACGAAAGGCCAGCACTGACCCGTGAGGACACCCGAAGTCAATAAATCAAAATACAGGCATGGATTTGTCACAAAGCAGACTTAATCCTCAAGGAAAGAAAAAAAAAAAAACAGAAATAAAAGTAATTTCATAGAAAGAGAATTTTTAAAAGAGAAACATAGAATTGATGGCTTAGTAAAGGTAAAGTTATGACAACGAGTTATAAATCCTGATCATAAATTAAGGTTGAAATGAAGAGGATTTTTGATTCAGTGGCTGGGTAAACTGTCTTACTGAATACACCAGCACCACCTTGTGGTGACAAGAAGGAACACACAAGGTTCCATCTAGAGCTACTCAAATATGCCTCTGCTGTGGAGGCAAAAAAAATATGTTACATACAAATTACAGGGCTCCAGAATTTCTCTTACCAAATGTCAATAGTTTTTTTTTGCCAAATAGGCTATTTTGGAGAAGATATCCTTGTATTCCAGAGAGGGAAAAATGCAAAACAAGAGCCAGCCCTGTTATCCAAAGGTACAGGTCAATAGTGTATGCATTGATGAAGGCTCAAGCGTAACACTGAGATATGATAATGTTTCATGTTTACATGGCACTTTCACATACCTAATTTTTACTTTATTATCAAAACAACACTACGAGTTAAGGCAGACAATACATTTGTCCCATTTCACAGATAGGAAGCTACAGTTCATTTGTGTTAAGTATTTACTCTGAGGTTAATTGCCACCTCCAGAAATAACCAAGAAATAATTACACCTCCTCCAGAACTGAGAGCATGGTTAAGGTGAACTTGCTGGAAAGGCCAAAGATTGAGAGTCAAAAAGTCAGCCAGGCAAAGGCTCTGTTCACTTTGAAATGAGTTGGGAAGAGAGGTGCCTTCCACGGGCTTGGAGAGGAACAGAACCACAGCAAGAGACGCCGTGGAAGGGGGCAGCCACAACTGACAGGGCCACAGGGCAGCCCCATGCCATGTCCATTTGCTGATCCATCAGCAAAGCCCTCAGGCCTCTCTGCCCACCCAGAAGTACTCCTCTGACAAGCTGGTCTCACCACAAGGCTGTGATCCTCACTAGACCACCTCAGCCCAAGCTGTCGCAAGTTGTCCAAGACCTGTATGTTACTTGTGGTGTGACCTCCTATCCACAGAACACACACTACATTATTTTCATCCCTCTGCCAGGGCTGAGCCAAGGAAACCCATTTAGCAGAGAGTCCTCTGTGTAATCTTGTTAGATCTATGGCCTAGATCATGGTGAAATGGCACGTGTTTGTCAGTTTTTTCAGACTCTGCTTTTGTGGGCACCTATGTCATCTGTCCCATTTCAGAGAGGGCTTACTCAATTTCTGTCGCTGGTCTAATATTTTGAGACCTCTGGACGGTCATATGTTCATTCCGCATTAATCTCATTGATCACAAATGTGAAAGTATTCAATCCACAAGTGTAATCAACATACTTACTACCAAAAAATTCATCCATAAATCTTAGTCTGCATTTCTAGTTGTTCTTATCAGATATTTTTTGAAGGTAGAGGTATAAAGCTTGACAATTTATTTTAAATTTCATTTTTAAAAATGAATAGACAGCATTTTTTAAAAATATTTTGTTTATTTATTTTAGACAGAGTTACAGAGAGGAGAGACAGAGAGAGATCTTCTATCCCCTGGTTTACTCCCCAAATGATCACAACAACCATGCTGGGACAGGCTGGGCCAAGCTGAAGCCAGGAGCCTCTTCTGGGTCTCCCACATGGGTGCAGGAGCCCAGGGACATGGGTGCTTTCCCAGGCACATTAGCAGGGAGCGAGATCAAAAGTGAACAGCCAGGACTTGAACAAGCGCCCATATGGGATGTCAGTGCTGCAGGCTGTGGCTTTAACCTGCTGGCAGCTCCAACTCCCAACACAGTATCTTTTTAAGATAACTTAAAATAGGCGGGTGATTGGCCCAGCAGTTAAACCACCAGATAGGATGCCTGTATCCTGTATCAGAGTGCCTGTGTTACAGTAATGGCCCCATATCCAACTCCAGCTTTCTGTTAATACACCCACATGGAAGACCTGGATTGAGTTTCTGGCTCCCAGCTTCAGCCTTGTCCTGGCCTGGCCAATGTAGGCATTTGGGGAGTGAACTATAATGCAAGAATTCTTTCTCTCTCCCTGTCTAACACAAATAAAATACCTTAAAAGACAAATGAGGAACTTTCTCTTCATTATACTTTATGGTTATTTCAAATATTTTCCTTGTTTATTTTTTGTCTTTCAATTTGATGATATTTGACATATATTACTAAAATTGGAGAATTTAGGAGAGTTTTAGATATAGATCAATTATTTTTTCTTCTGGCTTGGCCACAAATTAATTATTAGGTTCTTTTTTAAGGCAGTGAGTAAAAAGCCAGATATAAATCAGATGTGGTTTTTCTTTAAACAAAGTCCCTCTATTTTCTATTCCAGATAACATTAGAAATCATTAGATATCATTTCTCCTTGAACTGTCTCAGAAGTTTGTGCCAAATTGAAGAGATACACAGACATGCCCCCCCAACACACCACATACACTGCACGAATGGGCCTAGTTGTAATCATAGTCAAATACCTAGGCCGTGATTGGTCTCTTGAGAACTCAGTCTCTTATACTACAGATGACTGACAGTAACAACATCCAATCACAAATTTCCCTTTTGTAGCTGGGACCCTAAAGACAGGTTTCCTATTCTCTAAAAAGATACTACATCTTGTTGACATGATACAAAGCTAATGACCATCTTAAGCACTCGTTCTCTTTTCCATTGCTATTTCTCTCTCTCTCTCCTTCTTTCTCTCCTTCTCTCTCTCTCTCTCTCTCTCACACACACACACACACACACACACTCTTGGAAATAATTTAGACCTCATTGGGAATAACTTAGACCTCAATGGGAATAACTTGGACGTCCTTGGGAATAACTTAGACCTCAGTGTCCACAGATACAGGATGGATTTTCACATGTCAAAAGCTGAGAAACCTGTTGGCAGATGGTGGCAACATTGCCTGAGGAATCCTGAAAACACCAGGTAAGATGATATCAAAAACATGGAAGAATGGAAGAAATCACAAAAGATATTTCTGATAGATTTGACTGCAACTTACCTGTCTATAAAATAATAAACAAACAATGACAATATGACAACATTGAATCTCTAAAGGAAAGTAGGGAGAAGACATAGACACCTCCAAGACAAATATACAAGTGGTTGCTAAAACTGCAGAGCTCTTCTCTGTGTGTGCTTACATATATGTTAAGTAAACATCCTTATAATTACGAAAATGAAAACTACCTCACCAATGAGATATGACTGTCTCTCTCTCAAGCTGGTAAGTATTGAAAACATTAAAACATAGAAAGTCCCTATTGTCCACTAGCATGTGCCTCTTCCTCATTGAGAACATCCCCCTCCCTTAATGAAAACACTAAGACAATATGCATCCAAAGTCTTAAAATGTTTATATCTTTTGTCCTAGTAATTTCAATTCCAGATAACTACCCTAAGGAGATCATCAGAAATGCAGGCAAATTTATGTGAAAATATGTTTATCATGGCATTATTTATTATAGTAATAAATGGAAACAATAAAAATGCCCAATGATAGAAAACTCCCTAAGTAAATTACAGGCCATGTTCACATGCCTATTGTGGACAGTTACACAGCCACTAAAAGTTACATTTCAAGAAATTTTGAATGACATGGG